GACTTTCTTTGAGTTGCAGTCGCCAAGACAAAGTTCACGCGACTTCCTAGCTGGATTTCGGGACGCTCTCCTCGCCGCCGCCTGCGCAGCCGCGACCGCACCACGTGCTGGCTTCGCTGCCGGTGTCACGGATGCTGCTGATAACGAGGCACGGGGCCATCCGCGAGTGGCGGCGAGCACTCGCGTGCGCCCACGCGCGGCGGGGAGAAGTCGGGCTCGCGCTACGCCGGCATGCGGTTGGCAAGAGGAAGGGGGGGCCGATGGTTCGGCCAGCGTCACTGAGAAGAGAGAGATCTCCATCCACTTTGATATGGGGATGTATGATAATGATGATGTATGCCAGGCCGGGCTCTGAAAATGTGCAACAGCTCCAATGCGGATGCTGAAAGGTGTGGTGACTGAGTAGACGTCGTCGGGGAAGGCCGCGAGACACTCACCGGGACGCAGCTGTTCGTCTGCAGCAACGAGGACGTCGTGTTGGCCCAAGGCGCACAACGCCGGTGCCAGGGCGTCCCCTTTTGTTCGCACCCTTCGCCCTGATGGATGGTACGCCGCTGCCCGTCGGCATCCCACCAGAAGCATGTGGACTGCTGCCCATACCACAGGCGCACGTGCCGGGGCGGCGGCGTGCAGCTTGCGCAGAAACGGCCGTCTGGGGAAACCTTGGTACTCGAAACACACAGGTCACTGCGAATATGGGGCTGGAGACGGTTGCAACAACCCACACTAAATTCCAAGGCGACCCACAACCACCGCGAATCAAGCCAAGTGGAAGAATCAGTGTAGCCCATCTCCGCGAGCATACGACTGAACCACTACACAAGCTACTCTTACCAACGGTGTCGTCGTCCACATGACCATACAAGAAACGTACCCAGAGATCGACCGCAGCCGCCGCTGTCGCCTGGTCGTGTTGGGTCTCGAGGTTGGCAGACGCAGGGCTGAGGAAGCCGCCACGTTTGTTTGCCTCCTCGCCCGGGCGCGCGCAGCCAGTGCCCCTGCATGGGTTCCCCGCTGGAGTGGCCTCATCTCCGTTGCGGCGCAGCGTGCGCTTGTTGCCACTTTCCTGGAGCTCCCCCTCCAGTCGGAGCTTGGTGCTGCTGGCCCGCCGCCAGCTCCTGCCCGTGCGTAGGCGTCCCACCGCCGTAGCCTGCAGTTGGCACAGGGACCTGGACCCCTCTCTACTCGCAGTTGGTGCGTGCAAAAAAAGCCGCAGCACGAGAGTAGCCCCCATGGGACTCCAAGACGATGGGCCTGTACTGAATTCCTACTTGCAGGAATAATTGTTCAGTGCAATGGAAGTGGTGTTTCCGAACAGAGTAGGCTTCTGCTGCTCCAGCCGGCTTGCGCCATGTGTCATCCCAATGGCTAGGACCTAATGCCTTGATCACTGCGAAATCCAGGGCAAGGGGCTTATGACTACTATGCATGCTCCCATCAGGCAGCCGATCCAGCAAGGGAGCAGGACGCTGTACGAGAGACCATACCCGAGACCGGCAGCGACGCGAAGCATGCCTGAACGTGCGTCCGTGCCAGCTCTTGTCTGTAGCGCAAACTGGTACGCCAGGTTTCTTTTTTCCCACAAACCACCTTGCAAGCATCCGGGCGCGGTCCCATGCAGTGCAGCAGACTACCGGAACCAACCAAACCCACGACCAAACCCCTAACCATGGCGAGCAAGCAAGCAAGCTCAGCCCAGGAGGTGAGTGGAGGTGTTTCGGACGAGTCAGCGAGGACGTCACTCAGGAGAGGGGCTTCATCATCAAGGCATCAAGGGTGGCGGTGGTGGAGATGGGGAGGGACAGCAGGCTGGCAGCCAAGGAGCGTGCGGCAGCTATATGGAGAAGCACAGACCACCGGGTGACAAAGGCGGCAACACACCCAGTGCGCTGGGTCGCGGCGGCACTGCGCGCCCGCGCCTGCGACAGCAAGGTGGAGCTGCCGCCTGTCGCCGAGCTCGGCGAGGGACCCGTACCAGAGCTGCACGAGGTCTTGGCCGACTTTCTAGTTAACGTACGCCGATGGAGCTGGGACTCCTCTCGCAGTCGCAAAAAGGCGCGTGAAAACAAAAAGCTTCGGCACTCCAGCGACCACCGACTTCATCGGGGTCGGCATCGTCAGTGGCGAAACCAGGGCCATGCTGGGGCAAGTCAGCCCACCGCCGAACCGCAGAACCAGCCTCAGCAAGGGCATCGGAGGCTTGCGCTAGGTCCTGCACAGGTGACCACTCAAGGACACTGCGATCGTCAAGAGCTTGCGCCAGGGAATTGACAAGCGGTGCGTCTTGGACACGAAGGACGGCGACAGCGTCAGCCCAGGACGCCAAGGCTGCACTACGCAACCCAAGACCACCATGACGAAGAGCAAGCTGTGCAACACGGGCAGCTGCCGGCGGCAAGGGGGACGGCCCCTCCACAAGCAACAACGCGCTTGAAGCTGTGAGCACAGGAGCGTCGTGTGCGTGTGCAAAGTCCCGTGTCAAGCGAGGTGGAAGAGTGCGCAAGGCAAACTGTGCGCGGGGGGCAGCTGTGCAGATTTTTTTCTTACACGCACCTTTTTGCAAGTGCGAGTAAAGAGGGGTCCAGGTCCCTGTGCCAACGGCAGACAGCCGGTTCAAGAGCCGCCCAACCCAAGGACTCTTTGTTCAGAAGCCAGGCAGACAGCCGATTCAAGAGCCGCCAAGGCAGACAGCCGATTCAAGAGCCGCCAAACCCAAGGACGTTTTGTTCAGAAGCCAGGCAGACAGCCGATTCCAGAGCCGCCAAACCCAAGGACGTTTTGTTATGTTTTGTTCAAAGCCAGGCAGACAGCCGATTCAAGAGCCGCCAAACCCAAGGACGTTTTGTTCAGAAGCCAGGCATCGTCGAGCAACAGCTTGTAGTGTTCACACGCAGCGCCCGACAGCCCAACAGCGGTGCCGCGCTTGGCCGTCCGCGGAGCTTGAGCGACGGCGGCAGTGACCACTCCCGTCAAATCCGGTTGGAAATAAAAACTGAGGAGGGTAGCAGGCATGTCGTGCAAGCGTACCTGCCTTGGATTCGGGCGACCAGCACAGGCCTGGCATGCATCCAAACATCGAAAAAACATCAACGGTTTCAGTGTCCACAATGGGGTTAGGCAATCGGAGCCCGGCCTGGCATACATCCCAACATCATCAACCGCGTCTAGCTTCCATACTGGGGTCACGCATTCGGAGCCGGGCCAAGCATCTCGGGTGGGTACGCGGCTCCCAGAGTCAAAACTCTGCGCGGATCTCGGGTGTATCGCGTCCGTTGTTTGAAGATGGCCGCTTCGAATTGTCCTTATATTATTGCTCAGCTGCTGCAAGGCATCAACAGAAACCAGCATCGCTTTCGTGATTCGTTAACACATCAGCAACACAAAAATTCCTGTGCCGAAAAAATAAGAGTCCGCGAGCTTTCGTTAAGTTTCGACGTTTCCGGAACGATCAAGAAACCGGCGACACGCTTGCTTGATGTGTCTTGTAATTCATCAGCGTTCATGGGCCTGACGAGTGGTAAACCCCACCCACCTGCGTCCCCAAAAAACCGTTTAGAAGATGTAACGGCAAAGTTCGTAGAGGCCTGCGTTCAATCGGGTGAACTTACACGGGACCTGACCAAACACTTGTATTTGGCGACTTTGGATGCACGACGGCAGGAAGCAGCCCCTACGATAAGAGATGGACACAGGCATTCGAAACGACGAGGTTGCGGAATTCTTGCGCGGCTGAGCGCAGAGTCTTCCATGTTGGCTTGGCGATTTGTTCCTTCCGTCCCGAATACTGCTGCCAGAGCCTTCCACGTGGGACGATGTGACCATTCCTTGCCGTCTCCTGCGGTTCTCGTGCCGCCCTTTAACCTCAGACATGAACTCCAAAATCATCGACCGCCCGTGTCGCCGCCCCCAGCGTGCTGGCACCCTGAGCTTTGCTGATGGAGTGCCGTTTGTTAGGAGTCGCGCTGTCGACAACGTTGCTGCGCATCCTTGCTACACTGCTACAAGCCCGAGACAAAACCAGTACAAGTAGTACGGCACTTGGGTCGGCTTGGCCTGCACCGCCCCAGCCAAAACCAAGGCCCGGAGCTCGACCGGATCCTCGACCTCGCAGAGGCTGCGGGGCCGAGCCGGCTGCCTCTGTGCTGTGCGGCGTGTAGTCTGTAGCGCGGAGTAGCTTCGGACGGCTGAGTCCTGCAGGCGGAAGAGCTGCAGCACGGGCCGGGTCACGGATTTTTCCCTAGCTGAAGGTGTCCACAAACAAACCTGCGGTTCCTAAGCCCAGTTTCAGAAATGGAGGGTCACCATGATGCAGCTGCGCCAAAATTGTTCCAAGTGAACGGTTGTTTGACGATGTAAAGCACGACCTCCGCAGCCGCTTGGCGTCGAACACTGGGGTTTCAGCATGATTTGCACCCGGTCAAAAAAGCACAGGGCATGGTCTGACTGATGGTTTTTTTGTTTAACAAATGTCCGCAAGCTGCAGCCAATGTGTTATGAAATTAGCCTCTGGAGTACTGTAGCTTTGTTTTGGACCGGGGGTTGGTGGATGAGCATCTTGCAGCCCGAGGTGGGGAAAACACGAACTGGTACGTCTGATGCACCGGGCCTGCATCCTTAAATTCTTTAGATGGCAAAATCAATCTGTCACTTCGCAAAGGCACGCGCGCACTGACTTGCCGGAATCCCAGAACCCTAAACCCCGATTAGTAGCTCGTGGGCTGGCATTCTTAGTTTAACGGTGTGTGGCTCGTCTTTTGGCCTCCGTTATGCTACCTCAGCCATTTATGATTGTAGGCGTTTTAACTGGATGGGCAGGCAGAAAAGAGGTCTCCAAAACATGCCCTCTTAACGTTAGACCTGCTTACAAAACTTCGCAGGCAGCATGGCTCTAGAAGACAAAGGCTCGTAAGCAACAACTTTCAAGCTAGTTGGCTCGCGGGATGGGATGCCCAGATGTGTTATTTAGATCATGCCTTGCATGACTGCTGCCTTGTCGTGAGGCCTATACACGCTCTTTTTGCACCACGTGGCGCCCCAAGACCATAACATGCAGCAGCAAGCTGACATGCCATTCCTAAGCTTGCAGAACAGGTGCAGCATCCTGTTCCATGGCAAGACTAGGCTGATGGACATTCCCATGCTGGGAGGAGTGAGCTCCAGAATCATAGCTGTGTACCGGAGCGGCAAGCGGATCGGCAGCACTGTTGTTGCTCCAAGAGTCCCCCTGCCGCAGCATCGAGGCGTAGCATTCAGAGTAATGTGGCTCTTGCTCTTGGCATTGCCCTGTGCCGTACGGGCAGATACGTTGCTGGCACAAGGCGGTGGGTTTCGGATCACGGAGACCAGTCATGATGTACCCAAGGCGCCTCGCAACGATGCGGCGAGGAACCGTGGGCCGTATGACCGTGGCACTACCTACGGCCAGAATGAACTCTTCCACCAGGTCAGGAGGGCAGATGGGGTGGAGGGGGTGATGTGGCAGGAATATGGAAATAACTTGGTTGGAAAACCAATCTTTTTGACTTGGTTTGAAGATGACGGCACACACACAACCCAGAGACTTGCGGAGGATAATCACAATCCTTGGCTAGCGGGGGCAACCTCTGACAATGACGGACAGATTTATTATTTGGAGATACAAGACGTGACGCAATGGATCAGTAATGAGCTTATGGGCGGGTGGACTGTTGGTCCCACAGAGCCCTGCCAAGCTTGGATAATCCATTGGGACACTCAGCGCAATAAGCAGCAATTCCGGAGGGAGCTGCCCAGCCAGGCCATGAGCTTGAATGACTTTACGGAGAACACTGCGGCGCTTCGTTACGATCCCATCAACAACCACATCGGTGTTTATTTCTCTCACCGCATGTTCCGCTCGCCCGACGGTCTGAATCACCAGCGTGGCTTAGGCTTTGTTTTTGATGTTGACAGGATGGAGATCACTGGGGCTGGCCACTACCAGACTGGTAGCCACTCCTTCCAAAATTCCATGATCGCCGATCCGACGGGTGGCTTTATCGGTTTGGAGCTTGATGATGGGTCTCCCCGTGGGCTTCAGGTGATCAAGATGGATGCTCACAACAAGGAGAATCTGAAGCATGTGTGGTTGTCCTTGTCCTTGTCCTTGTCCTTGTCCTTGTCCTTGTCCTTGTGGTTGTGGTTGTGGTTGTGGTTGTGGTTGTGGATGTGGATGTTGTTGTTGTTGTTGTTGTTGTCGTCGTCGTCGTCGTCGTCGTCGTCGTCGTCGTCGTCGTTGTGGTTGTGGTGGTTGTTGTTGTTGTTGTTGTTGTTGTTGTTGTTGTTGTTGTTGTTGTCGTGGTCGTCGTCGTCGTCGTCGTCGTCGTCGTCGTCGTTGTGGTTGTGGTTGTTGTTGTTGTTGTTGCTGCTGCTGCTGTTGTTGCTGTTGTTGTTGTTGTTGTTGTTGTTGTTGT